TTATTACAAAGGTAGGAGAAAAGAATTAATATTTTTTAAGGTTATTTTTCTGGATTTTGTGAAATTTATGGTGTTATACATTTTTTGTGTTATAAACTTTTTAAATTTGTATTTTACTCTCTTTGTTTTCATTCAAAAAAATTTTTGTTTGTATCCAACTTTATATTTGTAATTTTCTTAAAGAGGTCCCCTAAATTGTGTGAACTTCAGACTCCATAAAACCTGGCTCCACCTTTTGTTGCCATTGATCACATATGAATATATAGAAAAATGTGTCCAATTCAGAAACCGAGTGCCTACGATGTGTAAATACTATACTAGGACTTGCAGGGAAGTGGGGGTGTATGAAGATTAACAAGCACTTACAGCTTCATGGGAGAGACAGGTATCTGTCTAATGTAGATGTAGCCTCAAAACAGATTGAGTGACAAACACCCAGCCACTGACGCCAACCCTTTCTTTAATCATCCACTTACCAAGATGTGGAATTAAAAAGCACATTGGCCATTATCAATTGATGCAGCTCTACTTCAGATGGCCCTGCTCAAAAGCAATGGGCGTAGGAGATCAATAATAATAACAACTTTGCAGTTGGCAATCACAAGTGGGAGCTTTGGAGACAAGACCATTGTCAACCTGCCCCTCAGCTTGTCCCCAAAAGGACTTTGACTCTCTTTAGCTTCTCTAGTAGATTGATCAATCAGTTTTAGGCAGATGTAGATTTGGATCTAGCCAGAATTAGCCACAAAATTTTAATCAATCCAAAAACGTAATGGGGTGAGAGCAACTTAAAAAGAGACTCAAACTTCCATTAGGAAATTTGTTCCACTGCAGCCTCCAGTTGGCTCTTGTTCGCTTGGCTAAAAGAAAGTAGGAAAAAGGGTTTAAGTCTCCTACTTCCTTCCAAGTCCCCAAAACGGAATCCCCAACTATGGAGTCTGGAACCTTCATTAATGAGAACACTAAGGCCATGGGCTGTCGGTCCTTGCAACACCCTTCTGTGTTAGGTTATTATTATAGGAATAAGACTGTTATTATAATAATACTAAGACTACTATCCCTGTCTTACAGAGGATGAAATGGGGCTTAATGCAAAGTAGCTCAACTCCCAAACCTGTGTTCTTAACCACTATGCAGTCCTGCCTCTCATCATACCCTCTGTCTGATGGTCATAAGACAGCCCTTCAAACCATGAAACTTCTATATATACAAAAGGCTAATATGCAAAGTGTCCCCTTGGGAGTTTGACCGTGAGACCAGGGGTTCAATTGCTCACTATGATGTGCGCTGACCACCAGGGGGTGGCGCAGAACATGGCGGGCGACCAGCGGCAGCGTTTCCATGCGGGTGGTGAGGGAAGGAGGAGGCGGGGAGGCAGGGAACCTGATTGGCCCTGATCACTGGCCAGGCCTAGGGATCCTGCCTGTGCACGAATTTTGTGCACTGGGCCCCTAGTTTTGAAATAATTAGGAAGAAACGTGTGTGTTTTTAAAGTGTTAGTGCTGAAAGGAACCTGAGAAAATATTTAGTCTAGCCCTCTATTTCCAGAAGAGGTTGCCTCCCAACGTCAGGACAGCTCTGCCAGAGGGGTCGGAATCCAGTCGTGATGCCTGGTTGTGTGCCTTTCCCACTCTAGAGCTGCCAACCACCAGCACTGAGGGCTGAACCCAGGGAGAGGCATGCGTTTGGGAGAAACGTGTTTTGGAGTGGGGAGGGGTAAGGGGAGAGCCAGTGACAGTTGTCACATGATATGAGTTGAATTGTGTCCCCCCTCCCCTCCAGATTTATATGTTGAAGTCGTAACCCCCAGTACCTCCGAATGGGATGTTTTTTGGAGATAGAGTCTTTACAGAGGCAATCAAGTTAAAATGAGGTCATTAGGGTGAACCCTAACACAATATGACTGGTGTCCATATAAGGAGAAATTTGGACACAGACACACGCAGAGGGAAAACCATGTGAGGAGACATAGGGAGATGACGACCATCCCCAAGCCCAAAAGAAAGGCCTGGAACAGATGCTTCCCACACAGCCTTCTGAAGGCACCCCTGCTGTTCACACCTTGATTTTGAACTCGCAGACTCCAGAACTTGTGCAACAATACTTTTCTGTGTTTAAGCCACCCAGTCTGTGGTCCTTTGTTATGGCAGCCCCAGCAAACTGATCCAGCACAGAACTTGGGAAGTGCCTGAGGAGGCACCAGGCTGAAGGACTGGTTGGAGAAGAGGAAAAAGGAGAGGCTAAAATGATGAAACCCTGGGTGGGGAGAAAGAGACCTGGGCAGAGAAACCAAGGATTAGCCAAGTGGAAACCCAATCAAAATGAAAGTGGAGTCCATTTCTTCTTTTAATTGACGAGTCTAGGTCTGGAATATCTCCGTGTAGAAAGGGACTTAGAAGAACACAGCTGTTACAGAGGCCACTGGAGTGTGGGCTGCCCTCACCTTCATGGTGCCACGGTGCCAGCACACTGCGGAGAAACAATTACTGCCACCACATCCAGATGTTCTGGAGAGGGGAGGAGAGCCAAGGAAAGTTCTCAGTGTATTGTAGGGTGGAGCCAACTTGAATGTGCTTGAGGCCTCCATGAGCACAGTCATCCCCAGTTACCAATGGGGGATTGTTTCCACCGAGGATACCAACATCTGTGATGCTCAAGTCCCTCCTATAAAATGGAATGATGTTTGCATGTAACCTGCACACATCCTCTTATATACTTTATTTATTTTAAAAAATATATATTGATTTTTTACAGAGAGGAAGGGAGAGGGATAGAGAGTTAGAAACATTGATCAGCTGCCTCCTGCACACCCCCTACTGGGGGTGTGCCCGCAACCAAGGTACATGCCCTTGACCGGAATTGAACCTGGGACCCTTCAGTCCGCAGGCCGACACTCTATCCAATGAGTCAAACCGGTTAGGGCCTCTCATATACTTTAAATCACCTCTAGATTACTGATAATACCTAATGCAATGTAAATGCTTTGTAAATAGTTATTATGCTGTATTATTTAGGGAATAATGACAAGAAAAAGTCTGTATGGTTTCAGTACAGATGCACCCATTTTAGGCCTAATTACACAGTATACACATCAGCAACATGACTTTGTTCCCCTGGAATATTTTTAATCCATGGTTGACTGAACCTGCTAAACCACTTATACCAAGGCAATATATTTTCTTTTTTATTCATCATAAGAAAAAATTTAAAAACTTTATTATACTTATTTTACAGTTCAGTATTGCTTTTATTTTGAAACACAAATATATTTTCATGGTTATTATATATGTGCACGCTCTGGAGGCAGGTTGCCTGAGTTCCAAGTGTAGCTCTGCCCTCACTAGCATTCAACCTTTCTGTGCCTCAGTATTCTCATCTGTAAAAGGGGAATGATGACAGCACCTACTTCATAAGATTATGGAGATTCAATCAGATGTGAGTGAAGGGTTTCAATAAACGGTATCTGTCATTACCAGAGGCGTTTAGTATAACAAGAATTCCTCTCAAGACTCAGATTCAAAGTGTAGTAGATAACAGCCCTCTGCCCACCGCTGGGCACAAGCATCACTCTGACCCGGACCACCGTGATTAGAGGGTAAGGCTACAAGCAGGCCTCAGGCGCCACGAGGAACAGTAACATTTGGGATAGCAGCCTGAAAATAAATTGCATTGGCCTCTGAAAACCCCCAAGTAGGTATCGCATGGACGTAGAACCCCTGAAAACCTCACAGCCAGGAAGAGCAGGGTGGAGGGACCCCAGGAACTTGGAGGATGAATGCTGCTCTTGAGCAATGTCTTCAGCTCTAACTATATGCCCCGCTGATAAATCGCCCAGGGTTGCTTCATGTCCAGGGCGTTGCAGAAGTCCAGACCAGTCCTCCTGGCCAGGGGCTGTGTCAAAACCCTGTGGGGAATGTGGTGAAATCGGGCTAAAAGGGGTCGTGCACGTGGGTGCCAAAGAAAATAGGAAAGGAAAGCGCTGGGGCTGTCAGGGCCCCTTCTGCAGAAGTCACCCCTCCAGGGCCCGCGGACAGCAGACCCCCGAGCTGGCGGGGCTCCTGAGCTGAAGCACCACAGCTCACCCTTGGCCCTTCCTCGGATTCCTT